AGTTCATCCTTAACAATATTGACAGCTGATGCTTATTTTGGACCTACTGTATGCCAGGTTCAATCCATGGGGATGATTACATAGCATCTAATAGGAAGGATAGCTGACATCTACTGCAGTCTCCTATGCACCAAGTACAGGGGCTGTATGTTGCTATTTTGAAATACATATTATCAGTATAATAGATACTGTGGCGACAGGCATTATAGTGGCAATAGGCATTATAGTGGTAACATATACCTTATTGTTTTCCATATCAATAGCTGACATGTGTTTTGGGCCTACTAAGTGCCTGCCATACATATTATGGTTAACAGTATAAAATGATAGGATCTATCATTTAGGCCTACTATGCTGCTGGTTGCTAATTATACCTTATTGTCAATAATACTAAAAGCTGGCATCTTTTTTTGGGTTACGGTGTGCCCTGGAAAATGTGTCTTATTGTCTTCTTCATGATAACTGACATCTATTACAAGCCTACTGTATGCCAGGCATAGACCATGCAGTTAATAATACTGAGAGTGATCACTGATATTTCTTTTAAGCCTACTGAGTACCAGGCCCTGTGCTGATGGCATGTATCTTATTAGTAATACTGATGATTATAGCTGTCATCTGTTTGATGCCTACTGCATGACAAGCACTATGCTGTTGCTGGCACATGCATTGCCTTAATTATACCCACAGCTGATATCTGTTGTCGGCTTACTGAGAGCCAGACACTGAGCTGATAATAGACACCTTTTTTTTTTTTTTGAGACAGAGTCTCACTCTGTTGCCCAGGCTAGAGTGCCATGGCGTTAGCCTAGCTCACAGCAACCTCAAACTCCTGGACTCAAGCAATCTTCCTGCCACAGCCTCCCAAGTAGCTGGGACTACAGGCACGCACCATCATGCCTGGCTATTATTTCTATATATTTTTAGTTGGCCAATTAATTTCTTTCTATTTTTAGTAGAGATGGGGTCTCGCTCTTGCTCAGGCTGGTCTTGAACTCCTGAGCTCAAATGATCCACCTGCCTTGGCTTCCCAGAGTGCTAGGATTACAGGTGTCAGCCATCACGCCCAGCTCTTTTGCCCATTTTTAAACTGGGTTGTCTTCTTTTTATTGAGTTGTGTTTACATATTCTGGAACAAGTTCTTTAACAGGTGTATGCTTTGCAAATGTTTTCTCCCAGTCTATGTTTTATCTTGTCTTTTCATTTTCTTAATGGTATCTTTTGAAGCACAAAGCTTTTTATTTTTATTTTGAGACAGAGTCTCACTTTGTTGCCCAGGCTAGAATGAGTGCCGTGGAGTCAGCCTAGCTCACAGCAACCTCAATCTCCTGGGCTCAAGCGATCCTACTGCCTCAGCCTCCCAAGTAGCTGGGACTACAGGCATGCGCCACCATACCTGGCTAATTTTTTGTATATATATTTTTAGTTGGTTAATTAATTTTTTATTTTTAGTAGAGACGAGGTCTCGCTCAGGCTGGTTTTGAACACCTGACCTCGAGCAATCCGCCTGCCTCGGCCTCCCAGAGTGCTAGGATTACAGGCGTGAGCCACCGCGCCCGGCCTGTTTTTTTATTTTTTAAATTAAAAGAATTTTTATTCTTCTTTTCACCATGCCCAGCTAATTTTTTCTATTTATAGTAGAGACAGGTTCTTGCTGTTGCTCAGGCTGGTCTCGAACTCCTGACCTCAAGTGATCCTCCCACCTCAGCCTCCCAGAGTACTAGGATTACAGGTGTGAGCCACCGTGCCTGGCCTAGACACCTTTTTTGTTCCACTGATAGTGGCTGACATCTGTTACAGGCTTACTATGTGTCAGGCCTCAGGAACTGAATGGATTCAGAGCAATGTTTGTATAAATCCCTTGCCATCCAAACTCTTGCTACTCAATATACAGGGCTCAGAAACCCTGTAATCACCAAATGTGGAAACAGAATAGATTGGACATATTTTCAGATAAACCCTTTGCTGTTCAAATTCATTTTATCTAAATAGATATGGATAATGCAGTGTCACATACAATCTGAACTCAGGAACTGAATAGATATGGATAAAATTTTTGATGAATCCCTATCAACTCTGAAACCAGACAGGTCTGGATAACAGTATAACTCATCATCTGAACCCAGAAACAACACATTTAGGTAAATTTTTTTGTACATCCCCTAATCCAGATATAGTTGGATTTGGAATGTGAGAGATACTTCGTATGTTTCCTGGTGTGTATATGCACACGCACATTTGTCTTCCACATGTGGTTTGTGTGAACATGAGTGTGCATGTCTGTCCAGGCCCTGTAGGATAACTCTCTTGGTCCTTAACTGTTATCCTCCTTCTCCCCCTGGCCTTGTTCTGCCAGAACCGGAGGAAGAGATCATTGCTGAGGACTACGATGATGATCCTGTGGACTATGAGGCCACCCGGTTGGAGGGTCTGCCACCTAGCTGGTACAAGGTGTTCGACCCTTCCTGGTGAGCCCGGGTACCTGGGCAGGGAGGCAGGGGGAGCTGACTTCTGACTTTGCCCTTCCTGTGTTGACCCTGACCATGGGCTATATGGGGGATGCAGGGGACAAGATCTGGGGATCCTTCCTGTGGGGACCTGACATGGAGCAGGTAGAGGCAGAGACTGGGGAGGAAAGAGTTGAGCATACAAAGAGGACATTTGTGCTGACACTCCTTCCCTCCACTGCCCCACAGCGGGCTCCCTTACTATTGGAATGTGGACACAGACCTCGTGTCCTGGCTCTCCCCACATGACCCCAATTTCGTCGTTACCAAATCTGCCAAGAAGCTCAGGAGCAGTAATGCAGGTGAGTTGGCAGATCCAAGGGTGCCTTGAGTGATTCTAGCAGTTCTCAGAGAGGGGCCAAATATAGTGGACCAGGGAGGGGTAGGTGAGGCCAGGCAGGCTAAGCCCCAGGCGGGGGAGGTTTGAAGGCAGAGGCTGCTGGGTCCTGAGGTGGGAGGAGGAGATCATTTCAAGACTCACGTCCCCAGATGCTGAGGAGAAGTCGGACCGCAGCCATGACAAGTCAGACCGGGGCCATGACAAGTCTGACAGGGGCCATGAGAAGCCAGACCGGGGCCATGACAAGTCTGACAGAGATCGAGAACGTGGATATGACAAGGTGGACAGAGAGAGAGAGCGGGACAGGGAACGCGATCGGGACCGTGGATATGACAAAGCGGACCGGGAAGAGGGCAAAGAACGTCGCCACCATCGCCGGGAGGAGCTGGCTCCTTACCCCAAGAGCAAGAAGGGTAAGCAGAGCAGGCCAGGGCTCGAGCGAGGCAAGCAAGGTGCTAGGGCACCCGCAATGTAAGGAAGCCTTCCATCAGGCAGGTGCCTGGTCCCAGGCCGGGAGGGCTATGCTGTGGTGCAAGGCAGCCACGGGCTCCATTTTTTCCCGGGGCATTGGGACAGTGATCAGGGGCTCCTCATGCCTCGACTGAAGAGTTCACCCTGCCACTTGCTTCCATAGTGGCAAGCCGAAAGGATGAAGAGTTAGACCCAATGGACCCCAGCTCATACTCAGATGCACCCCGGTAAGTGACAGCCCCTCACGAGCTCTTCTTTTTCCTCGTGTTCCTCACCACACAGGCGAACACCATGCCTCTCCTTCTGTCTCCTTCCCCCATTCCTCAGTCAGGGCTGGTGGGTGGTGACCACCAACCACATCCCCATTCCCTCCTCCGGATACTCTGTCACCTGCAGGGGCACGTGGTCAACAGGACTCCCCAAGCGGAACGAGGCCAAGACTGGTGCTGACACAACAGCAGCTGGGCCCCTCTTCCAGCAGCGTCCCTACCCTTCGCCAGGGGCTGTGCTCCGGGCCAACGCTGAGGCCTCTCGAACCAAGCAGCAAGACTGAATCTTTGCCCTCCCCCAGGCTTAGGTTTTTAATAAAAACCTTTTATGATCATGTCCATGAGGCCTGAGCAGCCTGAGCACGTCCCTCTTTCGAGGTTTCCCAAGCCGGCATGATGCAAAACACATTTTATTTGCAAAAACTCACTTAAGAAATATTGGGGGGGGGGGTGGTAGGGGCTAAGGGCTGAGGTCCTTACCAGAGAGAGTTTAGTTAATGTCAGCCCTGCGCAGGGTGGGGGTGATGGGGACAGGGATTTTGGTGTCTACCTCACCCTACCCCTAATACTGATCAGAGTGTTTGGTCCCAGCTGGGCCAGGGCAAGAAGTGAGAGCAAGGCCAGGCCAACGTCTTCAATCCCAGCAGCTACGAACCCTTCACCTTGGTGAGCAACCTGTGGTGGGAATGGAGAGGAAAGAAAAACACAGAATACTGGAGTGGGCTGGCAGGGGGGTTTCCTGAGCAAGGGAGGGTGGTGGTAGTGAGGCTGGTAGTCCTTGGGTTAGTATTCACAGGTCCCCTGGTCAGAAAGCTACACATGGACTAAATAAATACAACATCTTTATTTGGCATCGGGAATCCTGACATTTGTTCATTACAGTTCCTTAGAAAACAAACCAAAAAATCAAAACAAATTAATCAAAAATAAAGATCCAATGGCCCTATTTACATATAGCAAAGACAGCCCAGGCATCTCCCATGCACACACACACACACACCACCCTAGGATACAGTTAAGGGGTTAATAAGCTTTGGGGAGTGCAGGGGGCAGGTTCCACACTTTATTAAATCTAATATAACCCCCCACACACACAAAGTAAGGGTGCCTCATTACAGCCTATAGGGCATCAAGAATGTAATCCTAGCACTCTGGGAGACTGAGGTGGGAGGATTGCTCAAGGTCAGGAGTTCGAAACCAGCCTGAGCAAGAGCAAAAAACCCTGTCTCTACTAAAAAAAAAATAGAAACAAAATAATTGGCCAACTAAAAATATATAGGAAAAAAAAAATTAGCCGGGCATGGTGGTGCATGCCTGTAGTCCCGGGAGACTGAAGCAGGAGGATTGCTTGAGCCCAGGAGTTGGAGGTTGCTGTGAGCTAGGCTGATGCCACAGCACTCACTCTAGCCTGGGCAACAGAGTAAGACTCTGTCTCAAAAAAAAAAAAAAAAAGTGATTGGCAGCTTTATTTTTCCTCTCTGGACATCCCAGAAAATAACCCTGCATCTGGCAACTGACAGTGTCTTAAATTCAATGAGACCCAGCCATTTCAAGGATCTACCCTCCTTGCTTTTCCCACCACACCCTGGATCATTAATGATCTGATTATACCCCAAATCCCCAAACCACTAAAAAACAAATGGCCCCTCTAGCACCCTCCCCCAGACAACCAGCTCTCACCCCTTTCTCTCTCCCTGAGCACTTGAAAGAGGCCAGTCTACAAGGGTCTCTAAGGGTCTTGGTGTCAGGGAAGCTGTCTCAAGGCCACACAACAGACCGAACTGCTAACATGATCCAGTGCAGTGGTGAGGGAGAAGAGAAGGCCTCAAACTATGGGAAATAACCCCAAAGGTGGGCATTCATCATTACTCAAGAGCTGCAGGATTTGTCCAATCTTTCCTTACAAATGTGGAGGAATTGCTGGGAGGGACTCTCCTAGGCACTGAGAGACAGGACACCTCCAGCAGGGGGACAGACAAAAAAGGCCTTGAATGACAATACCCCCAACCCTGTCCCCAAAGAGGTTAGGCGGAGGCAGCTCTAAAAACCCCTCCAGGAGAGGGAGCATCAGCCTACCAGGAAGGGTTTGTGTGACACCCAGCCCTAGTCCCATACCCCCTCCAAAAGTCTCCATGACCTGGGAGAAAAGACCATCTTCTAAGCCCAGTGGAGCCAGGCCTCAGTGGCAACTTGGGTCCTGCAGATGCCTAATACCCTCCACCCAGTCCCCTCCCTGTCCCCCCACCACCGCTAGCCCTCACTTCACCAGCACTGACTTTGGCAGAAAGGACTCCGTGATGAGGTCCCCACGGTGGGAAGACAGCTGCGGTGGCGGTGGCTGCCCTGGATGTTGCTGGTGAATGCAGGGCCCAGAGGTGGAGACTGAGGCAGAAGCGGAAGCTATGGCTTTGGCTGCACCTCGGGGAAGGCTGTAGAGGTAGACGGCACCAATGACGAGCCCAGCGCCAAGGGCAAATAATGGGTCCACGTGGAAGCCAAAGAGGCGAATGGAGGCAACAGTGGACAGCACAATGGACAGGGAGGTGGCAAAGCCCTTGAGGATGTTGTCGGCATACTTGACAACAACAGCCACCAATAGGCCACCGAAGGCCTGGTTGAGCACCACGCCCCAGACAGCAGGCGTGTACCCAAAAAAGAAGCCGCGGTGGGCCACAGCAGTGCCCTCAGCCCACCAGAGCCCCACCAGGCCCAGTGCCGTGCCAAAGAGGCCCAGCTGCAGGTTGCGCAGCCACACAGAGCCTGAACTGCCTTTGAGGATCTTCTCAAAGTAGACACCTGCAAAGCCTGAGGAGAGACAGGAGGCCACGACAGCTGCTAGGCCCACCCCAGGGTTCTGATCCAGTGGCCGTGGGCCTCCCCCACCAGCTTGCTGTGCCTGGACAATGGCGACACCAGTGAAGAGGAGCAGCAAGGAGGTCCACTGCAGCCGGGAAAGGCTGCGGTTCAGCATGAGCACAGAGAACAGTGCCGTGGTCAGGATCTTCAGCTGGTACGTCACCTGTGAGTGGCATGTGGAAGGCACTGAGAGCTGACCTTGACCCCCAACGGGTACACATGGGGGGAAGCACCCACTGTGGGACCCCAGGTACAACAGAAGGACAAAGTGGCACAGATGACAATAAAAACAGCAAAAGTAGCCAGCCACACTGGCCACTGGCTGAGCTGCAGCCAAAGAGCTCTGAGGTCCCTCCCAGAAAGTGCACAGAAGGATGGCTATGCCAGGAAGTCCACATCCCAATCCCATTTCCTGACTGTGTGACCAGGGACAAAGCACTTGCCCTGTCTGAGCCTTGGCATCATCATTTATAGAGTATGGCTGATGTATGTAAAATGCCCAGAAGTAGGTAATTTTTGTGATAAGGGAGGTATTGATAGAAATGAATCAATAACTACAATTAAGTCAACAAATACACAGTGCTTGCTATGTGCCAGTGTGGGTCTAGGCACTTTACATGAATTAGTTTGTTTAATCCTCACTACAACATGCAAAGTGGGCAGCACTGTAATCTCCAATTTAAAAATGAGAAAACTAAGGCACAGAGAGGTTAGGTGACTTCCCCAAAATCACACAGCTGGAAAGTAGCAGAGCTGAGATTTGAACCTAGGCAGCCTGGCCCCAGAATCCTGGCTCTTTATTTTATAGGACTGCCAATGAATAGCCTAAATAAGCCTAAAGCTTATCTATCACCAACCAAGGGATCTTCACAGTTATTGTTCTTTTAATCATCCCAGCATCCCAGTGAGTATTACTATTTCCATCCCCGATTATCACAGATGAGGAAACTAGAGGTTGAGGGAGTTCCAAGGACATTACAAAGGTGACACAGGCTACCCCCACCCCCGCCCCTGCCCCCATACTCTATCTCACAATCCAGCCAGTTCCTCTGGGGCCATGCTGGGCTTTGGGGCTCACCTGGAAAGTGGCAGCTGGCAGATTGGAGATGGCAACATACTGGAGGTTATTCTGCAAGGTATAGATGAGAGAGGGCACTGCAAGCTTCAGCGTGTCCACGTACTGTACCAGGACAGCCTCATGGAGGAAGAGAACCAGGTGCTTCACATTACCTATGTGGTAGAAGGAGAGTCTTTTATGGCACTGACTGCCAAAGATGGGGATCCCCTGAAGGCAGGGACCAGGCCTGGTTTCTGTGCCCCCCACTACTCTTGACTCCCTGGGGGCTGCAATGAAGTCTGTGCTCTCGGTTTTACCTAGAGTACAACCATGTCTCCAGTAGGCCTTTCTGATACTCAGTTTAATGGCTGCAAAAGAATCATCTGTAATACTGTGTCTGCTAGTCACAGACTACATTTCATTCATCTTAGAGCCCACTCCCTGGCACAAAGCCCCACTCAAAGCACTCAATACAAGTATGCACGATGAAATCATCATCATTACCAGGAGCTTATGAAATAGAAGCCCTAGAAATAGGGATGGAAGAGTGTTCCCCACACAGAGGGGAAATTTAGACTAGACTTTTGGACTTATCCTAGCTCTTTACTGACCTGGAATGTGCCTGAGGCCAGGAGCCATCTCCCCCTCAGCTGCCCTAGCCCTGCCACATGGATGAATTCAGGCTTGCCCATTAAGCACAAGTCTGGAGAGAACTCGCTCTAATGAGTAAATGAGAATGATTTCCTATGTAATAAGGCCTTTGCAAAGCTCACCCCACTTTCTTGTAGTTCATCTTTTAAGTCTTGGCTGAGTGTCACTCTTCAGGGAAAACCTCCACAACCACTGCATGAGATTATCCCAGGAACTCCTGCTGATACTCACTCACAAACACTGTCCTTGCCCTTTGTGGCACTAATCCCAGGAGACATCACTGGTCTCTAACCTCTAAATTTCCAGGAGCCAGAAAGGTAACCTGGTATATATATCATAGATTTTATAACAAAGGAGCTGCCACACCATAACCAGGCACCACTCATATTTCCGCAGTGAATTATGTGAATATTCACACCAAATGAGAAAAATAGCACAAATATACAAAGAGCCCCACATCAGGTCAGGCCAGGTTTTACCACCAAACTAATTCAGGGGGGAAAAATGGGGGGAGAGGGGTTTGAAATCATGGCTAAGAGATGAAGGCCTGTGATTAAGTCTGGAGCTATTACTCCTATCTCAAACAACAGCCCTGTGAGGAAAGATGCATATCTGCCCTGTTAACACATCCACCTCCACAGCCCAGGGCCTGAGGCACAGTGTTCACTCCTACATTGTTTACAGAGTCCATCAAGAAAAAAAGCTGCTGCCTCTCAGGGGCCCAGAGTTAACAAGTTGGTAACAGTGTTTTCTTCAATGCAAACACCTAGGACAGAGGCGCATAATTCATCCATATCCTTTACATATGCAAGACCTTTACAGAAAAACAACTGCACAACGTTTCAAGTAGAAGGCCTTCTGGGAGATGTTAAAATTAACAGATAAACCCAACTCCCAATTTACAGGAAATGTATAGGACAGAATAATGTTAAATGATGCCACAGGGAGGCAGTCAGCAAAATCTAGACTATCTAAAGTCTATAAGACAAATGACCTGCTTCAACAAATTAATTGCAAAGAGAATAAAAAGTTGGAGGGGAACCTTAGAGATGAACAGATTTAGGAAATATCAACCAATTACAAAACATTGACCATATACAAACACGTTTTTAAAAACTCTTATGACATTTAAGAAATCATTACAAATTTGAACGTTGACTGGATATTTGATTATTATTTTGAATTACTGTGGGTTTTTTTTTTTTTTTTTTTTTGCAACAGAGTCTCACTCTGTTGCCCTGGCTAGAGTGCCATGGCATCAGCCTCACAGCAACCTCAAATTCCTGGGCTCAAGTGATCCTCCTGCCTGAGCCTCCCGAGTAGCTGGGACTACAGGCATGCGCCACCATGCCTGGCTAATTTTTTTCTATATGTTTTAGTTGGCCAATTAATTTCTTTCTATTTTTAGTGGAGACAGGGTCTTGCTCTTGCTCAGGCTGGTTTTGAACTCCTGACCTTGAGCAATCCGCCCACCTCGGCCTCCCAGAGTGTTAGGATTACAGGTGTGAGCGCCGGCCTATTGTTATTTTGTGATGTATGAGTCTTAGGTATTATACTTATTTTTTTCAAAAATATGTACCAAGACATTTATTCAAGTTAATAATGGGGGGTGCTGGTGCGATGGCTCCTGCCTGTAAGCCTAGCACTTTGAGAGGCCGAGGCAGGAGAGCCTTTGAGGTTAGGAGTTCCAGACCAGCTTGGGTGAGATCCTGTGTCTACAAAAAACCAGAAAAATTAGCCAGGCATGGTAGCACACACCTGTAGTCCCAGCTACTTGGGAGGCTGAGGCAGGAAGATTGCCTGAGCCCAGTAGTTTGAGGTTGTGGTGTGCTATGATGACACCACTGCATTCTAGCTGGCTCAAAAGAGTGAGATCATGTCTCAAGCAAACAAAAAAGACAATATGGGGGGATTTACTTCAAAATAGTGATTACTTCATGTGAGATTACTTCAAAATACTAAGGGGGTAGAGGTCTGTAGATACACATATAGATTGGTAGTGAGTGAATAATCATTGATACTATTTAATGGCAGAGTGGCCATGAATTGATCATTGCTGACTCTGGGTGATATGTACATGGATATTTTATTATTTTATTTATTCTTTCCTATTTTTGTATATGTTTCCTATTTTTGTATATGTATTTGTATATGAAATTCTACATAATAAAAAGTTAAAGGTAAATAAATAAATCACTACATAAGTGTCCCATACTACTTAATAGGGACAGACAGCTCCCAGAGTGTTAGGGCTATAAAAGTGTAGATACAGTTACTCCTAGCTGGAGGAACAAGGTCAGCTGCACTTACATACTTCCCAGGCAAGGTCATGGACAGAGATGCTCCCCCCGCAGCAGACCCTCCATGTGGACGGACGGACGGATGGACATACACGGACACACACACACACGGAGTGTCACCCACCAACCCCGGTGTAGCCCCCTCCTTGGCTTGTACCTCTCTTCTGGGCAAAGAGCAGCAGCAGGCAGGTAAGCCCTTTAAGCACTTCGGCCATGACTACAGCGGTGGTGGCAAAGAAGCGGTCCCCAGGCAGGGTACGGGCGTAGCGGATGCTGAGGATGAGGGAGGCATTCTGGACTACCAGCACGGCTAGGGATATGTACTTGAGGCGCCGGTGAGCTGGAGTGAACAGAAAGGGCAAGGGGGAATGAGGAGGTCAGAGGCTGTTGGGGTACAGCCACATCACCACCCACCCAATCTCCTTTCTCAACCAGGATTCTCCTAGCCACTGCCATTTCCTCCCTTTGCCTGCCTGACCTGACCCACTGAGGGTCTGACCCCTACTTGCTTCCACTGGCTCAGTCACAAGCAGGAAGAGCCAGAAAGGGAGAAGTGGGCCCCACCCTGTCCATCCCATACCTGGAATTCTTGGTGAGGTATCAGGAAATGGCTGGCGCAGGCCCTGGACACAGGCCTGGCCTGCCTCTCTCTCCCTCCCCTGAGAAGCAACTCTTCCCCAGGCAGAATACCACAACTACATTCTCAACATTTACTGAGTGCTTATTGTGTGCCTATCATATCATTGGGCTAAGGGATTTATATGGATTACTTCAACACTCATATCGCTCTGATCTCCAAAAGGAAAACTATGAAGATTCTCATTTTATGGATGAACAAACTGAGGATTTATATGAAATGATGCTCCTATTTAATGAAAGACAATCCCATGTAAACACTATTACACCAATACAGGGAATGAGACCACTGTATAAGGTATGTCCATCGCCTAAGGAATGGTCTTTCTCCCATCCAAGAAGCGATTCCATTCTCTCACTCAGAATGGTCTACATCCCATATGGAATGACCCTTCCCACATTCAGAATGGTCTCTCAACCCCTTCCTCCTATGACAAGTGATTCCTCCTGACCCAGAATGGTCTAACAAATATAAGAAATGATTTCCCCATTTTCCCAGGGATTGAACCTCATATAACAAATGATTACCCTCATGAGAATGGTCTACATCCTTCAACCATAAAAGGAAATACTTCCCTATATTCATGGTCTGTCCTCCCACTACCACACAGCCCCCTCCCCAGCCAAGGCATTATTTCTTGTTCTACTCATACTTACAATGAACTCTCTCTGCTATAAGGAAGGACCTGGGACCCTCAAGATGTTCTTTCTCCATCATGTAAGGACTGGCCCTCCCACCCCAACATACAATGAACTCTACCTCCATTAGTAAGGGACCCTCTGGAACGGTCCTGTCCCCATTTAATGAAGGACACCTTCATCCTCAAAATGGACCCTCTCTACTCATAAGGAAGGACCCAACCTACCCTAACTCATTCACAATAGCCCCCCTCCCTTTATAAAGAAGGAACCATCACCCTCAGAATAGTCTCTCCCTTCTAAAAGGAAGAACTCCCACACCGTCAGAATCGTCTCCCCCTTCCTTAAGGAAGGGCCCCACATATTCAGAAAGGTCTTTGTGATCTTAGCCTCCCCCAAAGGAAATAATACCCTCCACACGGACAATGGTCTCTACTTTCAAGATGCAGAAGGACCCCCAATCACTCTTAGAATGGTCTCTTCCCCACCCCCAACACACTCAGAATGGTTCGTTCCGTCCTCCCTCCCCCCCCTCCACACACACCACACACACCCCACACATGACACAGAGATAGGTCCACACGAGATGCTTCCTTCCTCTCACTTCAGTGAGGAACGTTCCCGACCCCCAGCGACCCCGACCTCCGCCTGTCGCTGAGTTCTCCGCCACAGCCTGTCTCACCCGCGCTTGCAGTGCCAGGCTCCAACGCCCCCGCGGAGACCGCCCCTGGCCCGGGCGCCGCGGTAGAACCACCAGTCCCAACTGCTGCCATGTTGGCATCTGCCCGGTCCGTCCCCTCGGCAACGGCAGGCCACTTCCGTGTCCGTCACTTCCGCTTCCGGGCCTCGGAGTGGCAGGTGGCTTGCGAAACGGGCTGACCAGGGTGCTGGCTTTCCCTGTCCACTGCTAAAAGCTGAATCTGAAACAGTGGCCTCGGTATTCCCAAAGTCCGTTGGACGTGGAAACAGGGGACACGGCCGGGTCAGCCTCCCGCCGTCTTTACAGAGCCTCATTGGTCCATTCCTATTACTAGACCAGCCCTCGTTCTGCCGTTTATCCGCCTCATTGATCCCGCTTTCCCTATCACCCGCCCATCCTGTCTCCTGACCTCATTGGTTCAGCTACTCCTTTTCTATCTCGGCTCTTTATTGGCACCTTCTTTTCCGCATCAGAAACTCCTAGGCCTTTCCTGGTTGGACTGAAGTTCTTTTCCTCTCTCCCGAGGCCCCACCCCCTGGAGAGCCTATGGGCAACCCGTGCGGGACAAGAAACCTCGAGATGAGGGGGGGGGCGCAGGTGAGGAAGTACTGGGAAAAGCAGCAGGTGGACTCAGGCGAGGGTCACGCAAGTAAGCTAGCAGACAAAAGCAGACACTGGCAAGGATGAGCAGGTGAAAAGGCGAAGGAGAATTAAGATGGAGAGAAGGGAAGACAAGTGAGTCATCATTGAGGGTGGAAATGAGAAGTAGGCAGGACAGGTTAGCTAATATTTGAAAAAAGGGCAAGATAGGGGACAACTGAGGTCAGGACAGGTGAAACCAGGACAGAAGAGAGCAAGGCAGTGCAAGAGTTGGAGAGATGAGGTATGAGTATATGAGGGAAAGACAAAGGAGAGTCAAAAGTAAGGAGTTAGATTCCAGACAGAGCTCAGTGACCGCCCTACCCTCCGCAGTGCTCTGAAAGGGCTTATCTCCTCCAACAGGAAAGGGATTTCTTCCCTCCCCCCCTGGGACTGTGGAGAAGGTAGTTTTTCCTGCCTCTGAAGTAGCAAATCTTTGATTGGGGATGTGCTCCAAACATCTTCAATGTCTACAGTATCTCCAACAGAGCTCTTCTGCATGTACTGGGTGCTACATAAGAACTGAGGGGGAAATCAACAGTTTTTCTTTGAGGTCCAGCTTCAACAAATCAATAAAAGTTCTTTAGGATGGAAACATAAGACAGGCTTCCCAAGGACAATGGAAAGGTGTAATCCATCTCCCTCTTGGGTCAGCATTTGGTATATGCTCCACAAATGGTCAGTCGCTTGTGATTCTATTAACTTTTATTAAATAGTGGGTTTCCACACATGGCTTTTTAAATAATCCAGGCAGAGGGAGAGGGGAGAAGAGGACACACTTGGAGCTCCCCTCCTCCTAATATGTAAGTATTTACATTTTAGCAACTGGACAATACTGGCTCAGGAGGAGGCAGCAAGAATCTGCAAAAGTTAGGGACAGGGACCCAGGAGAACAAACAGTAAAACTTATTTCCCCTAGCCCATCCCCCCAAAATACCATCCATCCCATCCTAGTCTCTGGTGGTGTCAGGTGGTGACATTCTCTCCCATTTCTTCCCAAATCAAGGAAGTAAGGTTCTTCTCACCAGAATAAGAGCACTTGGGATAACAAAGTAGGATCCCCTCACGAAAAAGAGCCCTGGGATAACAATAGGGCATTACCTCCCCCAGAATAATCAATCCTGGGCTGAGGTAGGCAAGCAGCTTAATCCAATATGGGACCCTAGGCTAGGGGAAACGGTCCCTTTGCTAAAATAAGAATTACTGGGGTATTAGAAGGAAAGCACCCTTGCCCAAATAAGAGCGTGTGAACTAAGTTTGTGTGGTGGTAGTAGGTAGGAGGTGCCAGTGTAGGGGTGACAAATAATCAGAATAAGAGTCCCAGGGCTCAGAATGGAACTAACTTGACCCAAATAAACATCCTTAGCAAAATGAGAAGCAAGAAGTCCCCCTTCCAGAGTAAGGGACCATTGGTTCTGGGAGGAAGGCTCCTTCACAGAATTGGGATGGGGACTGGGCAGACTTAGCTTATGTTGTCTTCTGACCCCTGATCCCCAAAATACCTGACCTTACTAATACTGGATTTTTAATGACCTGTAAAACCAGGTTAATGAGTGTCCATTTATCCCTGCAGCATGGCCATGGGACGGCTATTCTGACCAGTGGGCTCTTTACCAGGCCTAGGGCAGCAAGGACCAGGCCAAGGGGGTGGGGTCTCCTTTGGGGGGATTGAGGGGTGCCTCCTCAGCTGGTGTTTGCATCCAGGGGTCCAGCAGGATCTCCTCCAGTGAGGGCCTGGAAGAGGGTTTAGGGGCCAGGCACCGGCGGATTAGGGCACAGCAGTCTGTGGGTCAAGAAGCACAGGGAAGATTAGCAGTCAGTAGGAGGTACCAGTACATGGGAGGGATGGAATATCTGGGCTGGGGTCAAGTAGGGCCTCACCTGGGGAAACATGGTCAGGGAACTGAAGCTCAGCATCCAGAATCTCCTGGTCCCTCTCGAAGGGAATGTCTCCACATACCATGTCATAGAGGAGGATACCCAGTGACCAGACAGTAGCCGGGAGCGCATGGTACTGGTGTCGAGAGATCCACTCCGGAGGGCTATACACCCTTGTCCCTGCACACAAGCCAAGGGTTAGACCACTCTGTGGTGATGCCCTTCTCCCACCCCATGCTCCCTAGGAAGTATGGTCCCCTCACTACAATTAAGAGCTCTCACTGTAAGAGCAGGGTACCCTCATAGAATAGTAGCTTTTAAAATATAACAGCAGGGGCCCATCACCAGAATAAAAGCACCTAAAAGCAACAGTTAGGATCCCCTTACCAGAAAAAGAAGGCTCAGGATAGTAACAGGATCCCCCCCCCATGAAAATAAGAGCCTCAAACAAGGTTAGGGCAGTGTCAGAAGATGGACTTTAACCAAGGGCAAGGCCAAGAATTCCCAGTATCAGATATCAGTACAGACATCCTCCACTGGAAGTCAAAAGGTAAAAACAATCCCCCCCCATGAGATTTAGGGACACCTTACCATCAAAGTCAGTATAAGGTTCATCATGAAGCAGGGCACCTGAACCAAAATCAAGGAGTTTGGCACAGTCCCGGCGGAGGTCTATCAGGATGTTCTCATCCTTGATGTCACGATGAACAACTCCACGGGCATGGCAGTGTTGGACAGCTGCTACTACCTGGCCAAAGAAGCAGCGGCTTCGGACTTCACCCAGTGGGCCTTTCTCTGTGATGTAGTCAAACAGATCCTGTGCCGGCAAAGGCCGCTCAAGGACCAGCATGAAGCCTTCTTGTGTCTCAAACCAGTCAAGCAGGCGGATGACACCAGGGTGCCCACCGCCTGCACCCACCTTCCACAGCAGTGCCACTTCGAGTGGGCAACTCACTGAGTCTGACTGGAGGTCAGGTGAGAAGCAGGGAAAGAAAAGAGAAGGCAAACATCAGGCCAGTGGCTGAGGCTGACTTGTCACCTAAGCTCAAGTCATAGTCCCTTGGACTCCTTACTGTGTACTTCCCTTCCTGGGTTCAAACAGTCACTGAGAGGGTCAATTGAGCAAAGAGGCTACACACATCCACATCTGGCATATAATAGGGGATCAGTAAATATTTGAATGAAAGTGGCTCTTAACAAAAGACCTTTGGCAGAAGCAGCACTATTCTGTAACATTTTTTCTGTTGTGTTCACTGACATTTTCCAAGAGATTAGAACAGTAGTATCTTATACACAGTAGGTGCTCAATGTTTGTGAAACAGATGAAGGCACTCTATAGCATAGTATCTCCCAAGGAGTTAGCGCTTAATAAACACTATTGTTCAACAGTTTGTTTTGTTCACTGACATATATCAAGCACTAGAACAGTGCCTGGTATCAAGCTAGGGCTTAATAAATATTTGTTAAATAGATGAAGGCAATTAGTAGAAAAAGGACTGAGCACAAAATGAGTTCTGAATATATACGGTGTAATATTCTGCCAAGTGCCTATAATTGTGCCAGGCATATAGTAGGTGCTCAATGTACACTTGTTAAATAGCTGAGAGCGATTCATTGCAAAGGTCCTGGCACAAAGTAAGAACTCAGTAAGTATTATCATATAATATTTTGTCACTGTCACGTAGCACAGAACTGCTTAGTAAAAGGCATAAATAAAAGGCCACAAAAACCCTTCTACCGACTCTAGAAGCCCCGGCAGACACACTGATAGCCAGAAGCAGCCTCATTGCCTGAGGTGGGGCCCTCTCCCGGTCAGGCCGCTGACTTGCACAGCCGCAGACCGGTTTTCTCACGAAGCAAAAACTCCCGATACTGCGCAGGCGCGCCCTTTACCTCTGGGTCCCACCGCCTGCGCAGATGCAGTTTCCGAAGGGCCCGCCAGGGGGCGCTCCCACCCCTACAACTTGCCCAGACCCGCCCAGATGTCCGTTAGAGCTCTAACTGCAGGAGGGAAGCAGCCACCATCACCATGACAACCAGTGACCTCTGGCCCTCTTTCCCCACCAGCATGCCCTGCGGGTAGTCCCCAAAGCAGTGTTTGGAAGGAGAATGAGAAAGGAGAGAACCCAGAGTCTAGGGGGAATTGGGGTGAATCAGAATTGTATGTCTCTCCAAGGGAATAAACATGGGCTGGTAGGAGTGTTCTCACTGTTACAGGGCCCAGGGAAAGTCACACATCCACTGGAAAAGCAAGGGGGTGAATTCGTCGTCAATGAGGGAGTAGATAGGCTAGGAAGGACTACAAAAATACTCACCAAGGTGGACCAGCCCAGCACACGGTTCCGGGGAATCACTTTGATGGCCACCTGGAGAAGAGGGCCGTGGGGTAAGAGGGCCAGCAGGTGACCCCCAGACTCCTCCCAGTTTAGACCTTCTGTCCACCTCCAGAGCCCCTCCATCACCCAGCACTCTAGTCTTTCTGGTCCCTAACAACATCATCCTACAACCCATAATGAGCCAAAGCTTTTCCCCTGCCCTCCAAGTCCCCAGAACCAAGTTCACCTCTCCTACCATCCTTTCTCTTGTCGGGCTCTCCCTTCTCAAGCCATCAGGACCCTTCATCCTGAGTCCAGAGTTCTAGATTTCCTGGCATCTCAAGTCCTCAATCTTCCTATTTAGCTCCAGGAAACTGCAACTCTATACCAGGATTCTGGTTCTCACGACTTCAAACTGGACATCTACCTCTCCAAATCCCACATCTAGATCCCCGCCTTCACATACACGGACACAAACACACACACACATCCTCCAGATCCCGGGGTCTACAGTCCTCATGACTCCCACTTCCCAGTTTAACTCCCTGAACCTCCAGAATTCCTGCCATGAAAGTCCCTACCCCCCCTCCACATACCCACCTGGACTGCCACACACACACACGCACGCACGCACACGCACACACACACACACACACACACACCTAGCAACCCGGATTCTGGTCCTTATGACCCTACTGCACACGTTGCAGGCTCACTCCCCGGCCAAACAGCATCCCAGGACCCTCGCCACACACACGTGACCCTCCCAAGGCCCTTGCGGTGGATACCTGGAGTCGGTCTGTGACACGATGTCCCGCGAAGACGGTACCAAAGCCCCCCTTGCCCAGGAGGGGGCCAAGTCGGTACTCGGCCTCGAACGCTTCCCGATCCTTGCCTCCTACGCAGGCGGAGGCGAGGAAGTCAGGGTGGCGGCGTGCTGAGCCCGGCCGCGACTCCCTCCCCCGCGCCGCCACCCACCTTCCAAGCCCACCCCGCCTGGTCGCAGTAGGGGAGACTACGCTCACCTGGCGGCGACGTGGGGGTCACAGGGGGCGCAGAAGGCCCCTGCAGAGGCTTGGTCAACATGGAGGAGGCACTGCGCAGATTGAGTCCGCTGAATCCGCTGAGCCCGCAGGGCGTGGACGCCCGGGGCAGCGCGGCCGGGGAGCCAGGGCTGGGGGGCGCCAGGGTGGAAGGCAGGGAAACTGGTGGCCCAGAAGCGCCCGCAGACAGCGCAGCCTTAAGATTCACCGCGCGCGCCAGCCCAACGCTACTGAGCCGGGGCACGCGCCTCCCGGGAGAGTCACCCTGGGCGACAGCCCCGCCCACCTGACTTTGATCAATCCGGACGCGGCACCTGCTGTACCCCAGCCAATCGGAGCCAGCCCTTATTTGCATACCACCCTCAACGTTTCCAGTGCTCCCTTATGCAAATACACGCCTGGTTCTTCCGAGGAGGCGGGGCCTGCATGCAAATGAGGGGGCGCGAAGTGGGGCGCACAAGAAGAGGAAACCTTTTCTGGGAATCCCTCTGCAGCAACCGCGTTTGTTTTGGTTGTTGCGCTGGGTTGTTGTTGTTGGTGGTGGTGGTGGTGGCGTGTGTATATACACTTAAAAAATAACTGCGCAGTCTCCTTTCTTAGGAAGTTGGTTTGCTGCCGTTGCGAGATTAGCGTAGAGATAGCGCCAGGCCCACCTTCTAAGAATTCGAGCCTGTGGCTATCCAGGACCCCTGTCTCCAAGGGTGTTTCTCACCCTTCACCAGAGTCCTCCAGGATACTGGCGGCCTTCATTCTGAAACTGAAGCCAGGGCCCTAGAGGAATCTGTCCAGTAGCCAGGGAGGGGTAACCCCCTGCAAGCATGCCCAGGGCGGGGGTGGGGGAGGACGCCAGAATGGAGGTGGGGGTAGGGGAGGACGCCAGGACGGGGGTGGGGGAGGATGCGCCAGGCAAAGGCAAGCCTGGAGGCGGCTGCCTGCGGTGTTTTTGGAGCCCTTAACCCAGAAACAACTAGCTAGACTTAGCCTTGGGCTCAGTCAGCAGGTCTATAATCTACAGCAGCAGGGGGTGGGGTGGGCAAAAAGCCAGGGTGGCATGGGGCTGCATTCCTGGGGGAGAGAGACATGGTAGATGCTGCTAGAAGTACGAAAACACCCTCAAACACAAACTTATGAAAAATAACCAGAGAAGGCCCTACACCCTAGAAAGACAGAAATACACTGCAGACACACAAAAACGTCATGAGAGATACGCATACATTCTGTCAGACACATTCATGGAACCTTGTCCTAGATATGCATGCAGATATGCACTGTCACACGGAGACTGACATACACTATTCAGGTAGGCACACTGTCAGAAAAATAGTTATGTCCTAGAACTGACACTGAGAGGTACCCAATACAGAAATACAGGCACTCCAGAGACTCAGAGACCTACACTGCCATGTGACCACAGAATGTCCTGTCAGACACACTGACAGAACTTGTCACAAACACACTGGCACCATCAGACATGTACTGTCACAGAAAGACTTGTACTGTCCCAGAAATGAGACACAGAGTCTGTCACAGGGAGATACACAGATGCTCCAGAGACACACATGCACTGCTCAAAAGGCAGACATGTACTAATATGATAGAGCCACACAGGCAATGTCACAAAAATAGACATGTAGAGACCTGGTCACAGACACATATACCATCAGACATGCAGCTTTATCAATGAAACAAACTGTCTAGAAATTGCCAACCAGAATCTGTCACAGGAATACAAATGGACCTCCACCCCATCAGACAGAAACCACAGATGTACTGTCAGAGACAGACCCACACAGATATGCACTTGTCTAGGATACAGAAACTGTCAAGAGATAGAGTCCCACACTCAGTCACCATCTGACATACCTGGAAACAAGCCTTCATCACACACACGACTGGAGATATTGAGATGCACAAGAAGACTAGAACTCTCCAGTCACACACACAGACAACACCCAAAAAGCAAATACATACATGTCTCTCCCTTATTCATCCAACATTATCAGGGGTCTACTATAAGCCTGCCAGGCCTTGGTGGGGATGCAGATATTAGAGATATACAGATAAGTCAGGCATCAAAGCCCTTGCCTAGGAAGTTTATTTATAGTACAGTTATTGGGGATATTTGTAGATAGAAGTGAGAACATGAATGGACTTCTCAGAAGGTGACCCTCTACCTGTCTTGAAAGACAAAGGTTGGTGGCTCAGGACAAGGGAATGGCAAATTGCACAGGCAGAGGCCAAGGAAATCAGAATGGCAAGAAGAGATAGGCAGGGGCCAAATGGTACAGAAACTTCTACAATAGGATAATTATTAATAATAATACCCGCTAACATTTACTAAGAATGTGCCAGGCACCATGCCCAGCAGTATATCATGTTGACCATACATATTCTCTCAATGCTCACAACCAGACAGAGCATGAAGTAGTAGACATTAACCACTGCTCTTATATAGATGGGATACTTGAAACTCAGAAAGGCTATGATTTGACCAAGGCCACATGGTTAGAAAATGCCAAGGAAGGTTTGAAACCAACTCTCCAACATACATATGCTTGACCATTAGATTCCAGAGACACCCTGCAGACAGCCACTCAGCCAGCCACACCCTCATCTGCAGAGCCAGACACACATACTTCCACAGGGACACTATCATGGAGGCACAGTGAAAAAGATGCTTGAGAAAACCTGAGGGCCAGCCAGCCTTCTCTGTCTTGGCAGGACAGGGACAGAAGTGTCAGAGGACTGGGGGTCATGAACAAAAGGATTCAGCCATTCCTCACCTTCTAAAACCCAGTGAGGGAGGCCCCTTTGGTCACTTCCACTAAATTCATGCTGCTACGAAGCACCAATTGTGCTTTTCCAAAGCCTTTCCTTATCAGATCACAAGGAAGAGCAAGCATTGATGGTGAGACAGGCAGGCAGAGAAAACTGGGATTCAGGCAGAAGTTCAGCCTCAGCCCTCAAGCTCATAGTTCTCTCTGCTCCCAGGAGACATGGTAGACAGGAGCAGGGGCAGCAGGCAAAGATAGAACTTTTCTGGCAGGGATAGGTCCATAAGGTTTAATAAGCAGTGGGTTGGTTAAATATGAACTCCAAGGCACCAGGCAGACCCTACTGGAGAGCATTCGGACCTCAGAAGTCAAGCCAAAGACCTGTGCCATTGCCTCCTCTGTCCAGAGGCCCACCCGCCCACTGCCCCACACAGAACAGAGCCGCTCAGGGAAACTGACATTTGGTTTTATTGTGCCAAGGACATTACAGATGGTGGATCTTGTCAACACCTGCAGGGCACGGGTGCCCCATCTGCCGAGGCTGCTCCCACTGCCTACACTCAAATCCTGGGTGGTGGCCATAATCCCAAAGATACTCCCCACTCCAAGATTCCAAAGAGACTAGTAGTGGTGGTGGAAGCAAAAGGAATGCAGCAAGGTCAGGGTCTCATTGTCCAAAGCCGGTCTGACACCTGCCACCCTTGCCCCCTGCCCCAGGTCACACTCTAGGCCCTCTGCCCACCTCCATGGAGCTAGAGGCCAGAGGACAGCAACCCATATCTTTGTACCCCTCTGTGCCCCATGGCCTGCCTGCCCCCAAACCAGAGAGATGCCGCCTTCATAGAGCCAATGCTGTCGTCTGTATCATTTTTGATTGGTTGATTTTATAAGATAAAAGTACAATTTAATAAAGAAAAAATTAAACATTGAAGGCTCAGACATTCTTGGGGTACTGGGAAGGGAAATATTCCACTTCTTCCTCCCACCTCCCTGGCATCATTGTGTGTGTGGGGGTAACAAGTTTTTCTCATCTTGGAAGGAACAGGGGACAGGGAGACTTTCCTCTGTCTGAATGTCTCTCTCCTCTGGGGCTGCCTGGCTGCTGCCAGTTAGTCTGTCTCTGTGTGCCTCTTGCCTACCTTCGGCACCCTTGCCCGAGTCCCCTGTGGAATGCAGGGATGGTGCTATGCGGGGCTGGGGGGGCAACAGGGCACGTCAGCTGACGGACAGACAGGTGGTGGTGGTGGCAGCAGCAATGAGAGGGAGCGCAGGGGTGGGCCAGCCAGAGGGAAGTGGAGAGGAGGGAAAAGAGGAGGGGAAGATGGGGAGAAGGCAAGAGGGAAGAAAGCCAAAGAAGGTGGGGTGGCACCGGAGGGCAGGAGTGGTGGGGGTTGAGAGACGGTGTCCAGTCTCTGGGTCTCCATCAACTCTTGTCTGGGGGTGGGTCTCTGTGCACTTTGTTTTTCTTCATACTGTCTAGGTATTCCTGTTGGGATACTGCCAGCACCGATGCTAGGATCTCGTCGTCATCCCAGTCATTCAGACCTGCTGGGCAAAAGGAAGAGGAAAAGGATGATGGAATGCTCTCAGCCTTCCTTCTCCTCCCTCTTTGCTCTTTTCTCTGAGAAGGCCCCTTAGGGCTGTGAAACCCCACTTAGATAGACCCCTTCTGGGACAAATCTCTTAGGCCTGAAAAATCCCCTCTAGCACTTCTCTTCTTAACTAGAGGCCATAGAAACCCTCTCAGGACTTGCTGCTTCTTCCAGTCCCTCCCCAACTCCTAGCTGGCCCCTGTCCCCCAGAGAGAGGAAGCTTACCAAAGGCAGAGGGGGACATCTGCTGAATGAGGGCCCGGCACTCCAGAGCAGGGTAGAGGGACACCAGGGGGGAAGTAGCCCGGTCGGCCCCTGCAGAGAACTGACTGCTTGTACCTGGGGCAGAAGGACAGTCAGAGGTAGTAAGTAAGGCCCAGGACCCAGGCAATACCTTCTAACCCCAGCACATTCCCTGCGAGCGAGTCACTGACCTGGTGCACAGGGTGAAGGAGGTTTGGCAAGAGCTAAGACAGTGCCTGGGGAAGGGGGCTTGATGCCCAGCTCAGCATGCAACTCAGGGTGCTCAGGTGAAGACGCTGAACTCCGCTGCCTCGGGGATCGGCTGGTCCACTCCTCCAGGCCACTGGAGGCTGCTGCTGTGGCTGAACTGCATGTAGCACTGGCTTTCCGGGGCTGCAACGGGGAAGGAAAAAGTGGTAAGGACTATACCACCAGCTGTAACCCTCCTGTACTTCTGAGTGCTGGCTCCCTTACCAGGACCCTGGCTATGATATAGCTTCTACACAGGCCACCATCATTCCCACTCACACAGTGGACCATAGAGCTCCTCCTAGGACAGAGGTGAAGCTCTTCAACACCACCCCCACCCCCACCCTTATCCCATCCCTACCACCAATCTGACAGAAAATGCTGCTCTAACTTTTAAAATAGATCCCAAATCCAAACCCTTCTTACTATCTCCACCGCCAGCCAGCAATGTCACCAGTCACCTGGACTTCTGCAGTAGCCTCCCCTTGCTAGTCCCCTGCTTCCTCTCTCCCTCCCCAGACTCTGTTCTACACTCAGCAGTAAAGGGGATCCTACTGAATCCTAAGCCAGATCCCATGTTGCTTCTGTTCACAACCTTCCCATGGCTTCTGCCTCACCATAGCCCACAAGCCCCTACCCAATCTGGCCCCACCACCTCTCTGACTTCATCTACAACACTCTGTCCAGTCACACTGGCCTTCCTCCGAGCTGTGTCTGAATCACACCAGGAATGCTGGTCCTCTGCCTTCCCATGCATATGTGCTCAGCTAACTCTCTCACCTTCTATACTGAGGTCTACCCTGACCACACTATGTAATACTGTGAACTCCCATCCCCACTAAGCCCTACTCAGCCCCCTTTTTCTGGCTCTACATTTTTCAACCATAGTACCTCTCAACTAATTTATTTGTTATGCTTATTGTTTACTTTGTTTAACTCTGCAAAAATGTGAGCATCACAAAGATAAGGATCTTAGTCTGCTGGGTTCACCTATGTACATTAAGAACAGTGCCTGGCACAGGCCTGCAGTAAATATTTAGTATTTGTTGAACAAATTATTCAGCTCTTGCCAACATCTGCGATCACTCCAAACTCCTTGTGATTCTTCAGATGCCTGTATGCCCTGCCTCCTTCTTACTCTAACAATTCAACCTTCCTCTGTGAAGACTGACTAGAGGCCCCATGTCCACTGGTCTCCCAGCCAGGGTCAAGGGCCTCATTGATGAATCTGTATCCTTCAACAGACGGGATCACTGAGGGCAGAGAGGATGGATCTGATTTTACGTCCTGAGTACAGGGCCTGGCAAACAAGGGCATTCAACAAAATTTTGTCTCTGAAGCTATTTATTGCTCTCTCATATCACCAGCAGCAGCGGCTATCCTCTCTTACTCCTTAAGTGCTCGCTCTGCACACATATGGAAAGTTCCAAGGCACAATGCCAAAACTAAGGCCAAGATAAGTTACAGATGGGGCTGGAGGTTTCCTTCTCTCCCAGATGTCAAAATTGCTTAATTTTTTCCTGCCCATTTGGGGGAAAAGTAGTAATGAGTAGCAATGAGAGTTCTTGGCCAGTGACAGAGCCCATGACCCACCTGGTTGGGGCCGCGAACCTGGCGAGCCTGTTTCTCCTGATCCCGCAGCCACTGCAGATAGGATTCCCGAGCCACCTGCTCCTCAATGGCCTCGTTCGTGGCCTCCCAGTCTGTAGCCCGTTTCTTATCTTCCAGCATCTGCTGTTCAATCCATGACTCCTCTGATGTTTTTATGGCATTCTTCATTAGGGACTGCTCTGCAAACTGCGAGGAGGGAGAGGAACAGGGGTGTGCAATGATAGTCTGAACCTGGCCAAGAGTCAGAAAGGGCTCAGGCAAGTAGTTCCACAGGCCCCAGAAAAAAAGGAAATAAGGAGTTAGGTACTCCCACAAAGAACTGCTTGGAAGACTACTTCTTTATCAGGTACTGAGGGAAAGCAGGCTTGGATTGTAAGACTTACCATTCCAAACTCCTATGCTCAGAAGACCTGACTCTAACCTCAAGACATTTCAACTGAGGCACTAAGTCTGGGGCAGCCAGGTGCCCTCCAGCCTATACCTTGATTTTAAAAAGTTCCATCCAGCAACAACTCAGTTTCACAATACTAACGAGGATTTCCTTACATATGCCCAGATGGGACAAAGCTAGCAGTGTGTGCACGGGGTAGAGGGAGTACTCAAGCATCTGCATCTAAGGGGCTGGAGGAAGCCGTATGGATGTGTGAGAGGGTGAGGGGGCAGTACCAGCATGGTGTGGGGTGCTATGAGTTGTAGGACACTGTATGAGAGAGTTCTGTCAGGCTGTACAATACAACAGCTTTTAAAAAATAAAATCATAGAAAATATCAGAATATATCCCAGGGAAGAAGTGTAAAGATTGTTCTGTGAAACTTTAGTTTACATCATTTTAATGCACATATACATACTACACACAAGTCCATGTGTGCTAAGTAATGATGTAAGATGTAATTTTTTACCGTGGATAAGAGTTTTAAAAAGGCTGTAAACTTCTGTTAATAACAAGCTAATTAAAAACAGGCAAAAAAATCTAAACATACTCTGGCAGTGGAAAAAGCACAGAAGTGTTTTTTCTATTTTTTCATTCAACAAAAACTAACACAGAAGACTTCTGTGACCAATTGTGTGGGGGTCCTCTAATTCAATTCAATTTTGACGCTATCTACCTGGAGATAGCTGCAGATCCCACAGGTTTAGGGCTCAGTCCCACAAGAATCCCCTCCCTTCAAACACCAGTAGCAAGTCTGGGCCTCCAGAACATCTAATCAACTGGCTATAAGCTGGAGTTCCCATGACCCTTCCTTTGGGTTCCATTAATTTGCTAGAGTGGCTCACAGAACTCAGGGAAACAAATTTGCTGGTTTATTACAAAGGATAATACAAAGGATACAAATGAAGAAACCCACACAGTGAGGCATGGGGGAAGGGGTGCAGAGCTTCCCTGCCCTCCCTGGGGTGCCACCATCCAGGCACCTCCGGAAGCTCCCAATATGCATGACTACTTAAACTATGGGTGATCAACTTAACCTTCAGCCCCTCTCCCTTCCCCAGGGATAGGGGGATGGGCTAAAAGCACCAAACTTCTAATCTTGCCTAGGTCTTTCTGGTGACCAGCCCCCATCCTGAAGCTACCTAGAGGCAGCCAGCCATCAGTCAACTCGTTAGCATACAAAAAGACATCACTTTGGAGTTTCTAAGGATTTTAAGAACTGTTTGCCAGGAAGTCACACATACAATTCACCAAAGAAGATATACAGATGGCAAATAAGCATATGAAAAGATGCTCAACAACACTGGATAATAGGCAATTGCAAATTCAGATAATGAGATACCACTACACCTAACAGAATGGCTAAAATCCAACATGCTGACAAGATCAACTGCTGGTAATAATGCTGAGCAACAGGAGCCCTCATTCATTATGATGGGAATGCAAAATAGTACAGCCACTTTGGAAGACAATTTGGCAGTTTCTTACAAATCAAAATATAGTCTTACAACACAAGCAATCTCGCTCCTAGATATTTACACAACTGATCTAAAAGCTTATGTCCACACAAAAACCTGTATGCAGAAATTTACAGAAGCTTTATTCATAATCATCGAAAACCAGAAGCGACCAAGAATGTCATTCAATAGGTGAATGATTAAACAAACTGTGGTACCTCCATAAACGGAACATTAAGTGATAAGAAAGAAATGAGCTAATAAGCCATTTAAAAAACACAGAAAAACCTTACTGCATACTGCTAACTGAAAGAACCAGTCTGAAACAGCTACATACTGTATGATTTCAATTATACGACATTCTGAAAAAGGCGAAACCAAAGAAACAATAGGCAGATCAGTAGTTGTAGGAGAGGATGAGGGGAGGAGGCAGGGGAAAACACGAGGAGCACAGAGAATTTTAAGGGTAATGAAACTATGCTGAATGATCCTGTAATGGTGGATACATGACATTTTATATTTGTCAAAACCCATAGAAGGTACAACACAAAGAATGAACACCTAAATGCACACTAATTTTTCAAAAAGATCAATTAGGAAGTCAGGGATCCCAGGATGGAATGCAGAATATAACAAGAGAATCTAAACGTATTACAAATGTATGAAACAATCTCATTGAAGGGTGTGGGGGGGAGTTGGTGACCTAAGTCACTTTCAAAATGAATGGAGTCTTTAACACTAAAGGCAAACAGAACTGCACATAGCATTGTACTCTACTTGATAGTTTCCCAGTGGTGTAAGGGTGAACAAGTTTGATACTGCTAAAGGCAGGTATATGGAAGCAAACAGTTAAGTGGATGGTGGATGATGGCAGCCAGTTTTCTATTGTTGGAGTGGGAATTCACACATGAACAAGGGGAGAAGGCTAGAATGATGCATGTGGTAATGGATTTGAGTTGGAGACATCATTAAGAACTCACGTTTAATTTAATATAGATATACGTAGTTACACATAGAAATATTTACAGGTATGTGTACACACACAGGTTAGTATACACATAAATATCTCCTTGCTCTGTCAGCTGAGAGAGCCCAGAAACAAGGACAATCTGGTAGCAAAAAGCATACTGGGGGGAGGGCGTGGCAGACAGCCAGCCTGAGCCCCTGGGTTTTTCACATGGCCCAAGGGCCGGACTTGAGAGTCTCCTTGCAGTGGTGCACGAGAGCAGAGTACATTGCAGGACAAGCATTTAGAAAGTTTCTTCTGCTTTTTGACCGGGTATTGGTTGAAAGGAGTGCAGCTGAAACTGTAACCAAAGGAGGCATTATGCTTCCAGAAAAATCTCAAGGAAAAGTGTTGCAAGCAACAGTAGTGGCTGTTAGATCGGGCTCTAAAGGAAAAGTTGGAGAGAGTCAACCAGTTAATGTGAAAGTTGGAGACAAAGTCCTTCTCCCAGAATATGGAGGCACCAAAGTAGTTCTAGATGACAAGAATTATTTCTTATTTAGAGATGGTGACATTCTTGGAAAGTATGTGGGCTGAAATAAATCACTATTGAAATGGCATTGACATGAAGCTCATTCCACTGAAGTTCTGAAATCTTTCATCATGTAAATAATTTCCATGTCTCTCTTTTATAATAAACTAATGATCTCTAAAAAAAAAAAAAAAAAAAAAAGAGCATCTACACCTTGATTTTCAACAACATTCTCTAATAAAAGGTTTCAGGCCTCTTTGGAGAAATGGCTGATTCTAGCACTGGGATAGGAAATATACAAGATGAACCTGGAACACCTGATAGCACCAGAGAATAAGGAAATGCTTTTTAAAAAGATGGAACAGACAGGCGCAATGGCTCAAGCCCACTACTCAGAAGGCTGAGGCGGGGAATTCAAGCCCTGCTTGAGCCCAGGAATTCAAGGCTGCAGTGAGCTAAGATCACACCACTGCATTCCAACCTGGGTAAAAGAGTTTTACTCTGTCTCCAAAAAAAAAAAAAAAAAAAAAAAAAAAAAAAGAAAGAAAGAAAAGAAAGGAGAGGAGAGGAGAGGAGAGGAGAGAAGATGGAACAATTTGAGAAATAATAGTATTGGATTATGGATTATAACCCAAAGTATGAATACCTATAAATCCATACTGATATAAATAAATAATTAAATGAATGGGGGACAAAAAAACAGATCTCCCTTGTAGAATTCTAAATAATTTACACAGATATTCTGCCCTCAAAGAGATTGAGCATAACCCTCATTTCTTAGGTATGGGCTGCACATAGTGACTTCCTTCCCAACAGTACAATATGGGAAAGAAGCTGGGAATGGTGGCTCATGCCTATAAATCCTAGCACTTTGGAAGGCTGAGGTGGGGAGGATCACTTGAGGCCAGGAGTTCAAGACCAGCTTGAGCAAGAGTGAGACCTAGTCTCCACAAAATTAGCCTGGCGTGGTGATGTGCCTGTAGTCCCAGCTATGCAGGAGGTTGAGGCATGAGGATCACTGGAGCCCAGGAGTTTGAGGTTGCAGTGAGCTAGCATGACACCACTGCACTCTAGCTGGGGCAACAGAGTAAGACCCTGTCTCAAAAAAAAAAAAAGGTGGGAAAGTAACTTTACAGTGGAGAAACCTAACAAACACTACTTCTGCCAGGTGATCAAGGATGACATCAACAGTCATAAATCAAATTCATAGTATATACCTTTGATTTGATGTAATTAATGAACATGGCACTTTACCTCTGTGATTTTCCTCCCTAAAACCTACAACCCAAGCCTATCATGAGAAAAACATCAAATTCCAAAAGAGAAGCTTTCTACAACAGACTTGATCAGTACTCCTTAAAACTGTCAAGGTCATAAAAACAAGGAAACTCTGAGAAACTGTCACAGACAAGGGAGCCTAAGGAGGCACAGGACCTTCAGTTAATAATAATGTATCGCTTAGACAGTATGTATACTTAAAATTGGAACAATGCAGAGAAGATTAGCATGGCCCTTGCACAAGGATGACACACAAATTCGTGAAGCATTCCATATTTAAAATAATAATAATGTATCAATATTGGTTCACACATTGCAACAAACTGTGCCACAGTTATCTGAGATGTTAATAATAGGGAAACTGTGTGCAGGGGCTCAGCGGCAGAAGGCATTCTGTTCTATCTCTTCAATTGTGTTGATGTGCCAGGTAATAGGTTTAGTGTTATGCTGATACACCAGGTAATAGGTTATTATTATGCTGATGAGGGCCTTCCGCAAGCAGTAGGAGTCTCAGGTGGCTGAGGCACCAAGTAATAGATGGGGGTTTTCCTTATCAATAAATCACATTCATAGTATATAACTTTGATTTGATGTAATGAGAATGGCACTTTACCTCTGTGACCTTCCTCCCTAAAATCTACAACCCAAGCCTAATCATTAGAAAAACATCAAACTCCAAAAGAGAAGCTTTCTACAACAGACTTGATCAGTACTCCTTAAAACTGTCAAGGTCATAAAAGCAAGGAAACTCTGAGAAACTGTCACAGACAAAGAAGCCTAAGCAGGCACAGGATCTTCAGTTAATAATAATGTATCAATATTGGTTCACACATTGCAACAAATGCAACAAACGTGCCACAGTTATCTGAGATGTTAATAATAGTGAAACTGTGTGCAGGGGCTCAGGGGTGGAGAACATAACCGGAATACTGTACTATCTCTTCGATTGTTCTATAAATTTAAAAGTGCTCTAAACAATTAAGTCTATTTTTTTAAAAAAAAAACAAACTAAAACATTCAAACTTTTTAAGAAAGAAAAAGAAAATGAATAATCAAACCAGACGTCATGGATGAATCTTAAATGCATAGTATTAAGTAAAAAAAAAAAGTCTGAAAAAGCTACATCCTGTATGATTCCAATTACATGACATTCTAGAAAAGGCAAAACTAGATTTGATAAACAGATCAGAAACAAGGAAATTCTGATAAATTGTCACAGTCGAGACAAAGGGACACAACAAGTAAATATAATATGGTATCCTGGATGGGACTGTGGAACAGATAAAAGTCATTAGGGAAAACTGAGGTAATCTGAATAAAGTATGATCATTCATTAATATATCAATATTGGTTCATTAATTATGACAAACATATTATGCTAACACATTAATCATAGTGGGGTATATGGGAAGTCTGTAATATCTTTGCAATGATTCTGTAAATCTAAAGCTGTTCTAAAATTACAAGTTTTTAAAAACAAACAAAAAACCCTACGGTGGAGGGTGTGTTGGTGTTAGAGTATGTATGTGTTTCCTAAAATGAAGCAGGAGCAAGTTCTGTTTGTAGGAAGTAAAACCTGAATAGAATACATCAAAATCCCCAGCAGGGCCAGACACAGTGGCTCACACCTGTAATCTCAGCACTTTGGGAAGCTGAGGTGGGAGGATCACCGGAGCCTAGGAGTTCCAGAGCAGCCTGGTCAACATAGCCAGACCCCCACCTCTACAAAAAATTGTAAAAATTAGCCAGGCACAGTAGTGTGTTCTTATAGTTCCAGCTACTCAGGAGGCTGAGGCTGGAGGATCGCTTAAAGCTCAGGAGTTCCGAGGCTGCAGTGAGCTATAATTGCACCACTGTACTCCAGCCTGGGCAAAAGACCCTGTCTCAAAAAAAAAAAAAAAAAAAAAAAAGAAAGAAAGAAAAGAAAAGAAAAGAAAAACAAAAGACCCCACAAAAAAAACCAAAACAATACAAAAATCCCCAGAAGATGACTATTTATGAGAGAGAAAGAATGAAAATCTACCAGTGTGTGCTGAGAAAATGTACTATCTCCTTCTAAACACCTACTAGGCCCTAGGCCCAGTGGAAGGTGCTTTCTATATCAGTCAAACTTCCAGCCCAGAGTACTTATACAATCTACACTAGGTTCCACAACAGGTAAATGGTGGAGCCAGGCCTGCACCACAGGTCTCTGTGACCACAGCTATCTGTAACTGCTACAGATCTGGGAAGAAGATCCATGTCAAGAAACCCAGACCAAGCCCTGGCTCACTGTTCCCAAACAGGACCTTCATAGCCTAAAATGCCAGCCCTCAAAAGGCATAGAAGATGGGTGAGCCAGCTCACAGACAGGCAAGCTGAGACCACAGAATGAGCCCCGAGAGATCACCTCAGGTAACTCCTTAATTTTATAGAAGTGAGACCTCAGAGGAAACCCAGGGAAGAGACAGGACATTTTTGTGGGTTAGGGGAAGAAATGCTCTTTTCTATCCTAAGGCCTGTAGAGTTCTTGCCCTTGTAGGGCAGAGACTCCAGCAGAGGTTTCTGATCCCTACATCCAGCAGCCATCCTGGGCACAGAGACCCACTCACCCCTGGTTTGAATGATGGCAGGCCCAGCCCCACACCAATGGTGGCCTTGTTGGGATTCACCACTGAATTATAGTGGATATTCCGATGATAGCTGACTCGGATAGGTTCGTCCTCGTTCTGATGTATCCCATGGAATGTGTTGATGGGCTCTGCAGAGAAAGAGAAGGAGGGAGCATCCACAGTAGGCCAGGAAGGGCAGGCTCAGATTAGGCACCATCAGTCCCTCACCTACCCACTGCAGAAGTACCTGTGCTGTATTGGTACACCTCCACAGGACGGTTGTACATCTCTGCCATGGCCTGCATCTCAATGTGGTTGCCATGGCAGTTGTTTTTCCGCTTCCTGTTAATGTAGGTGGTGAAGTCCTCTGTGACATAGTTGGAGAAGTAGTCAGCATTCTTCATCTGCAGAATAGATTGGGAGGTCAAGGTCTGTGGGGAGAGGAGATCTCCCACCCTGCCCGGGCCCCAAGGCTTCCCCAAGGTCTTACCAGATAGTCCATGCAGTGCTTTCGCACCACCTCATGCATGTCCTGGTCTCCATATACCTGATCAGCTGTGAGGACAAAAGAAAGGAAAGGCAGGGGTCAGAGCTGCCATTAGAGAACCAGCCTGAGTCATAGAACATCCTTGGGGAAGAAGGGGCAGGGGGACCAGGGAAATGCCCTTTCCTATCCTAAGGCCTGGAGAATTCTTGCGCTTATAGGCTGGAATGGGGTCATGGGGAAAAGAGGCAGACAGGGACAGACTTGAAGAATAAGAGAGTACAGGTAAGAGTAACACAACCACAGGTCTCTTGGGCAGATGACTTTGTCTAGGGCATGCCTGGCCCCTCAGACAAATCAACAACATTCTAAGTCTCAAAAGTGACCTTGAGTACCATCAATTCCACACTGCCCCTCTCACTTTCCACATGAGGAAACTGAGGCATAGGGAGAGTTTGTGGCTTGCCAAAGGTCTGTGACAGAGTCAACTGCGGAATTCAGTTTTCCTGATTCCCAGACGTCAGCACGGCCTTTGTAGGTTAAAAAAAGAAGGAAAAGGAAAAAATGGGGGTGAGTGTCTAAGTCCAATCTGCAGATACTAGTGAGCTAAGCAACAGGAGGCAAGTGACCTGAGTGTTCCGAGCCTCATATGACTCAACGGTAAAATAAGACCAAGGTGGATAACAACCTGGCAGGCCTTTTGTGGGGATTAAATGAGATAATGACTACCATTAAATGAAGTGACTACCACTGGGCTTGGGACAGAGTAGTCACTCACTAAATCAGAGTCCCTTTCTCCACAGTGAGGCCTGAATGTGGAGTACTATGA